AAGTCCCGTATGCAAACTCTTTCTATAATTCATGCATTTTTCCTTCTTTAGTACGGGATGGAACTTACAGAATTCTTCATTTTTTGAGGAAATTCAGTCGTGAGTTGATAGAGGGAATCTCTTGCAACAAACCAGAGAAATTCGAATTGGCAAACGACTTAATGGACATATAATAGAGAGCAAATGAAGGCCTTATTTCTCTTTGATAGCTATAGATAACGGCTAAGTTTTTTCATGAGCTTAATGGCCTAATGACGAGGATTTGCAGGTACATGTTGTTACCAAGGAAATGGTGTTTCTTGGTATGGTCTTGTTAAAATTTCTCCCATGCCGAATAGTTGACACCTTCGTGATACAACTCAGCAATCTAAAATATGGCGACTTCTTCAATTACGGCCTTCGGATGCCAGAAAAAGGTCCGTTCTATCTAAAAGCAGTGACCGGACGATCCCCCACCATCGACGTCGGGGCAATGAAGAGGATCAAGAAGGGAGAAATCAGGGTAAATCAAGGAATTATAGGCTTGTTTTCTTTGAAATTTAGTTTAAAACATAATCAAAAACATGTTAAACCTTCTCAAGTTATAATAAAGCAAATGGTGTAGGTTTTCCCCTCCATCAAAAGCATTAACGGGAAGCTGGTCACATTTGTAAATGGCACTACCAGTCAATTTGAGGCCATAGTCTTTGCCACTGGCTACAAAAGCACTGTGCGGAAATGGCTCCAGGTACATTTTCTTTATATTTATCTTTTTTTGGTTAAGCCACTTAATAGTGATTGATTTATATACATTTGCAACTTTTCCCGTTGAATCTTCATATTTATGGTAACTTAATTAGGGTGGAGATGACCTCTTCAACAAAGACGGCATGACCAAGGTCCTGCGCCAATGGAAAGGAGAAAATGGCTTGTACTGCACCGGTTTTGCTCAACGGGGTCTGCTCGGCATCTCTGCCGACGCGCGGAATGTAGCAGACGATATCAGTTTCAAACTTCGATGCGATAGGAAGTGTTCGCAACGGAAATAAGAAGCAATGTTGTCCGTGCAACGATATGCTTGTATTAAAAATAACAAAGGATGTACGATAACGTTGCGATGTAAATGGAAATCAAGCTTTATCATAGTCAAAATCAACGAAGTCATTCTATTCGTAGATCAGGGATTTGTGAAATTTCGACTTTCTCTTTTGAATTTTCTTTCTCTGATGTTCTTAAATCTGAGCGGTTTGAAGTTGCTTACCCACTATGATCAATGGTACTCTATGCAATAAATTGGTCTAAAAACGAAGTGATCCCTCGAGAAAGTTATGTTTTATATATACTTGGCTTGCCTATGTGTCCACTATCAAAACAAGAAAGTTGTCCTAGAAGTTAAAGTACAACCCAAATTGGGAATCCAGGTGATGAAACATATGGCCATGCATTGAATGGGAATGTACCAAGATAGCTTTTTAGTATCAAGTAAATCTGACCAAGTACATTGAACTCGAGGCAAAATAAATGTTCTATATGGCCAAATTTTGATTTGCAAGGGCTTACTTGCCCATTATTGGGATCAAAATAAGATCTGTGGCAATCTAATACTAGCAAAAATGATTTGACAACCTCTTAAAACAAACTCTCTCTCTCTCTCTCTCTCTCTCTCTCTCTCTCTCTCTCTCTCTATGGAAAAGACAAATTTTACATTCCTTATTGAGGTCGTGCGAAGCCATGTCCATGTTATTCAGACCCTAGTGAGAAAATAATTTATACACTTTGTCTCAAAAAGAAAAATCTCAGGAAATGCATTTTTTATTAAATACACATAGAACAAAAGGTGAAAAGGCGCAATTTCTGCCTAGTATTTGTACTCTTCGAAGGGCAAGACGGTTCACAAGACATACTAGTTGTGGACGAGAAAATTGTCTAAAAATCATAAACTTATTACACTTTTACGCTTTCAATTATAAGCATTTCAATGTTACAAATTGAGTTCTAAACATTTTCACCTTATGCCAATTGAGTTCATCAGTCCAGTTTTGGCCGGAAATTGCCGACATGGACACTGGTCATGCCACATGGGGCGGCTGGCGCTAACGTGGACAATTTTTAATAATATTTTCATATTTTTTGAATTTATTTATGTATTATTTTCTTTTTCCTTTTTTTCTTTTATTTATTATTTTTTTCTTCCCTTCTTTCTCCTTTAGCCGATCGCTGGGCGTTGGTGATGGCTAATGACCGATCAGAGGTGAGGACTGGCAAGGTCGACCTCGCTAGTGGCCGGCAGGGCGAGCTTCGCAAAATTCTTTGGCCCAACGATCGGCTAAAGGAAATAAAAAAAAAAACAAAAAGAGAAAGAAAAGAAAATTTGAAAAAATACTATTAAAAATTATCGACGTTAGCGCCGGCCACGCTACATAGGACAACCAGCATCCACGTCAGCGATTTTCGGATAAAATTGATCGGATTGACTCAATTGGCAAATTATGAAAATGTTTAAAACTCAATTGACAACATTAAAAGGTTTAGGACTAAAGTGGCAAAAGTTCAATATGTTCAAGACTTTTTGAACAATTTTTCCAGTTGTGGAGACATGGCAAATTTAAAGGGGGCGATAGAAAAAAGCCAAAGGTAACCGTTAGTGTGCGTGTGAAAGAGAAAATAGTACGTAGGCTCGTCCCTTTGAATCCTCAAAAGCAAAGATGACCCTTTTAAATATTTTAAAAAAAATTGAAAATCAATAAAGATAATTCATTTTTTTAGAAAAGGGCATATGTTTAAAAAATACTAATCAACTCTCTATAATCGATAAATAGTGACGCTCGATCGGTTAATCGAGTTTGGTTAATAAGACTGGCATGGGGCAAATCGACAAGTACTATGGCTCAAGTATCGATAACTACATGACGTTCATCGACGACCATGTGGCATAGTTGTCAAAGAAGGGTGAAGGACGATCAACAAGCATTGAGATTCAGCTATAAAACTTATGGATGGCCTATTACCGTGAAATTAATCAAGCGTTGGATATAGGGGAAAGAAAAGGCATGGACCAAAGATGTCGAATGGAGGCACCGGCACGAACTGACGGTTAAATATCTCGGTGGTTTTAAAAGTTGTAACTGCTTTAACGATAAGGTCGACATGCAAATGGGGAGTATTGAATCTTGGGAAGTGTTCGACCAAACAAAAAATCTGGGAAGTGCAGTAGTAACTACTTGTAAGTGGTTTTAATTAGTGGATTATAAATATAGGCGGCGTGTAATGACGGGGGATCATCATCGCAGACACAACCTCCCAAAGGTTAGGCGGGATCATCTTCAAAGGCACGACATCCCTAGAGCTTCTAACCAACGTATTAGTAATTTGTTTTCTCCATCTTCATGCACGTTTACCATTTCCAGAACTTTTACTTTACGAGCTTGCATTTTATCTTCACTTTAGAAGCCAGACCATTTCCCTAAAAAAAAAATTCAAAAAATCTGCTTTCGGTGAAAGGTTTTTCACTATGCAGATAAATCCCTGTTTTTGGGGAAACACGTGTTGTCCGTTATGGAAAGATACAAGGTAATTTTACACTAAAGAATCGGATTACCATTATTCCTAGTGACAATAATTCTATCGATAATCATTTTTACATCGAAAAGTTTTATTAAACTTCACAGGACTTTTTGTGCCCATTCAAAGGTTTTTTCTTGAGTATACAAGGATCGATGTGTGTAAGCGAGACCTGAATAAGGAAAAAAATTTAAAGAAGTATATCAATAGGAAAAAAAATCCATTCAAAAGGGTCTACTTTGGGTAAAAGAATTCAATCCGTAACTTATATTTTTCCTATAATAAGTCGTCACATGATTGCTTTCTTTAATGCAACTCCTTTAATATTTTTTCCAATTACGAAAAATAACAACCAATGCCGAATTAAGATAAGTTCCTATAACAGAAAAATTTTGGATACGGATTCCCATGTATGGCACGTAGATTGACATTGCCGAGTCAAGTACAAGCTAAACGTATAAATTAGGAGAACCAAATGTGGTACACAACTCCGTTTGGAGAATGAAATCTGGCATTTATGAATGTCCGTACATTAGACAGTTATTTCCTCGTATGTGATGCAGAATCTATTAGTGGTGCGTTTCTGGACCGATTGGACAGGCAGAAGTCCAAACGGAAGGCGAAACGGTGATGTGACTAGAACCAGCGAACCCGGTTGACGACATCAAATCGGGCTCAAATTCGGTTCTTTGAAGCAAAACGGCGATCTAAACACAACTCACGGCCTCGTGACTAACGATGGATTTTAGCGATTCGAGATCGTTTACATGGGTTTTTCTATTATTTTAATATTTTTTATGGGTTTTAATTTTAAGGGCAGTTTTGTAATTTTGATATTTTATGCTTTATAGTCCTAGTAAGGTTTGGTTTATGGATATATATAAGCTTGCTTTAGGGTTCTTTTTTAAGAACAGAACATTATCATCAATATAGAATTTCGGGATTTCTTTCCCTAAGCAAGATTTTGCTTGAATTACTCGCTGAACGCTGCGTCAGTATAGACTTATTCCCAACAAGACAAGTTCTAAAGAAGAGTCAAGCTGGATAGTATAGTTCTGAAGTGATGTTCATACTCTTTAACTCTTTTTTTTTTGGTCGGATACACTTACCTTTTTTGGTTTTTTTGGTTTTTTTGGTCAGAATCGGATACACTTAACTTAAATGGCCAATCTTTACCTGCCTATTCGATTTCTTGCTAGAAAATCAACACTGAATATAATAAAGAATCCAAAGTACTGTCATATTAGGAAGAGGATTAATGGCGACTGTATAAGATTTTCCATTTTTTACAACATTGGACCTGCCAATTTAAACTAAGATGGACCTTTCTATATTAGCTAAAATTAATTTCGACATGTGCGTACAAGGGCGTACAAAAAGCGCACGCACGAGCTTTTATCTGCCAAAACCACATCCCTGAGAACACTATCGCTGCTGAATCAAAGAGAACCAAATCATCCATGGACAAGGCCAACGAGAAAGAGGTTGTGGTGGCCATTGTTGGCGCTGGCCCTTCAGGCCTATCGGCAGCGGCATGCCTGAACCGCCTTGGCGTCGCCAATGTCGTGCTCGAGAGAGAGGACTGTTCTGCCTCTCTTTGGAGAAGGAGGTCGTACGATCGATTGAAGCTCCACCTGGCCAAGCAATTCTGTGAGCTCCCCCACATGCCCTTCCCCTCCAATTCACCCACCTTTGTCCCTAGGAACCAATTCGTCGAATACCTCGACAACTACAAGTCGTATTTCGAGATCAAGCCGTATTACCGACGGACCGTCGAGACCACGTCGTACGACGACCGAATCGGCAAATGGCGGATCGTGGCAACAAACATGGGCTCGGGCGAGCAGGAGGTCTACGTGGCGGAGTTCTTGGTGGTGGCGAGTGGGGAGAACAGCGAGGGCGTGATGCCGGAGGTTGATGGCTTAGAGAGCTTTGGCGGGGAGGCAATGCACTCGAGCAACTACCGGAATGGGAAGGAATTCAGAGGAAAAAACGTGTTGGTGGTGGGCTGTGGGAACTCAGGGATGGAGATTGCATACGATTTGTGGAGCTATGGTGCCAACACTTCCATTGTTGCTCGAAGTCCCGTATGCAGACTCTTTCTATAATTCATGCATTTTTCCTTCTAAGTTGGTGATAGATCAACCATCTTTATGAGATTTATTCAATTTCATGCATGCAAGGAATGCGCTAGCATTAGTTGCCTATTTCTTTCATAGTTCATTTAGAATATATGCCGACACAAATGACTGGGAACGGAGCGAGAGGATGACATGCTTGTCAATGAACATTATAAAATGTTCATGAGGTTATATGACCCGTTAAGTGGCGAATAAATTTGACAGGTCTATCAACAATAAATCTCATATAGTATTTGCTCCCCATATATTCAAATAATCATATTCTATAAATAACAAGTATAAGCTAATAAAGAGGATTTGCAGGTGGAAGTTGTTACCAAGGAAATGGTGTTTATTGGCATGGTTTTGCTAAAATTTCTTCCATACCGAATCGTCGACCTCTTGATGAGGCTACTTAGCAAGCTAAAGTATGGTGACTTCTCCAAGTACGGCCTTCGGAGGGCGGAAAATGGTCCGTTCCATCAGAAAGCAGCAACCGGGCGAACCCCCACCATTGACGTCGGGGCAATGAAAAGGATCAAGAATGGCCAAATCAAGGTAGATTAAGTAATTATAGGTGTTTTTCTCTTTGAAATAGAATTTAAAATCTAATCAAAAGCATGTTAAACCTTCTCGAGTTATAATAAAGCAAATGATGTAGGTTTTCCCCTCCATCAAAAGCATTGGAGGGAAGCTGGTCACGTTTATAAATGACACAACAAGTCAATTTGAGGCCATAATCTTTGCCACCGGCTACAGAAGCAATGTACGGAAATGGCTCCAGGTAAGTTTCATTTATGTTCCTTCATTCCCTTAAGTCCTTTATGTTCATTCTTAATATTTATGGTAACTTTAATTAGGGTGGAGATGAACTTTTCAACGATGCTGGTATGACCAAGGTCCGGGACCAGTGGAAAGGAGAAAATGGCTTGTACTGCGTCGGTTTCTCTCAACGGGGCCTGTTCGGCATCGCTAACGACGCACGGAATGTAGCCGACGACATTCGTTTCGAACTTCAACGCCAAAGGAAGCGCGAGTGAGAAAAATAAGAATGTGATGCTTGCGATGTTGTCCATGCAGCAATATGCTTGTACTGATAAACAATAAAGGGTGCATGATAACGTCGCCGTGTCAACAGTAATCAAGCTTTATCAAAGACAATCAATAAAGTGTTTTGGCGCCATTTTGATATGCGAGGGCTTGCTTGCCCATAATTGGGACTAAAATAACATCTGCTCGCAATCTAAGACTAGCAAGAAAGATTTGACAACCTGTTTCACCGGAATCGATTTTGTAGCGAAATATAATTTACCAAATGTCGCTCTTCGATTTTTTATGAAAAAGGATTGGGTTCAGTGGTGATTTCGGATAGGAGATATCCATGCAAGAAAAAAAATCCACTTGCTTCAGCCAAGCAGTACATATTTAAATTGCGACAATAGTTGATCGATTAAAAACTTGAGCGATACAATTGGTTCAAACAAATCCAGCCAGCCGCTGATTAGCGGCAGCGTCAATCCACAACAGGAAATCGTACTTGAACCTCATCGATGACATATTACATTGATACCCAACTTAAGACATAAAGATCTACAGCCAAGGAAATTGAAAATATAGTGCAGAAAGCTTTAAAGATAAAAAGACGACATTTTAATTGTGTTTTCGGAGGGGCTTCTGCTAGCCATCGGGTGGTATTTATAATGATAGTGTGTTAAAATTATGTTTCAAGTTTGAGCCTGCGAACTAAGCCCAATTCGTGATGAATTATTATTTACATGGATGTTCGAAATATTGAGCAAAGAAAGATGGGCACATAATCTCTCTTTGCAATTGGAGTCGCCAAGGTGTAAAAGAAAAAGAAAGTCGGGTTAGAGAAAGAAGAAGAAATAAAAGAATCAGAAATATTCTTTCCTAATTGGTGTGGGAGTCACGTTGAAGAATCGTAAAGTCCAACGTGTGGACTTGAAGACCAGTCAAGAGTGTTTCTTTTATATATATTTGGATAGTGGGATTCCTTTGACCAGCTGTTGAGGTGCAGAGGACTTCATCGTGTGCTTCCGGATATGTAGCATGGAACGTCATGGCTGTCGAGAGGGAAGTCTTGAAGCGCCGTTTTCAAGCGCGTGCTTGGTGTGGGTTATTCTCGTGGGTTTTTGTTCGTCAATTGCACCAAGAATTTAAGTGTTTAAGTCGATTAAATCTTGTAATAAGATTTATGTATAATTTTTTCATAAATTGAAAAATTATTTCGTGAGTAATTATGAGGCTAAATACTGCGTAACTTATTGGGTGTAATTGGAGCTTCGGAAACATTGAGAGTGCTTGAGTGACTTGAGTGTGATTGTAATTTCCGTTATATCTCTTGATCTATAGTGGAATTTTGTGCTGCTCTCCCCGTGGACGTAAGTCACTATGACCGAATCACGTCAATCTTGTGTCCGATTTATTTTCTTATTCTGTCAAATTTATTATCCTATCACTTGCTTCCGCAACAATTGGTATCAAAGCTAGGCTTGGCTGAGTTGAAGCGGATCGATAGCAACAGAGGAAGGAAAAGTGAAAATCAACAGATTTGATGGGAAGGACTTTGGTTTCCGAAAGATGCAAATCAAAGATTATCTGTATCAGATGAAATTGGAATTGGCCCTATCTGGAGAGAAGGCATAAACAATGAAGCAAGCTGATTGGGAATTGCTGGATAGGTGAGCTGTGAGTGTTTTTTGGCTAACGTTAGCTCATAACATCACGTTTAACAACATGAAAGAGAAGACAACTGTCGGTTTGATGAAAGCCCTGTCGGATATGTACGAGAAGCCCTCTGCGATCAACAAGATATACTTTATGTGACATCTATTTAACTTAAAGATGGGTAAATGTGCGTTAATTGCTGATCATATTAATGAATTCAATCTAATCATTAGTCAATTGAGTTTAGTTGAAATTGACTTTAAAGATGAGGTACGTGCTTTAATTCTATTATCCTCATTACCTGATAGTTGGAATGTTACTGTTACCGTTGCCAGTAATTTCTCTAAGTCAACAAGTTTAACGTTTAATAGGGTTTGAGATTTGATTCTAAGTAAGGATATCCGTAGAAAGGAATCTTTAGCAGGTGAAAATAGAGGAAGAACTAGTACACATTAGCAAAAGTGGTATAAACTAGAATAGACGCAGTCAATATATGACTGATGGTGTTGTCTGTTGGAGTTGTGGCAAAAGGAGATCTTAGAAGGGATTGCTTTAAGCTGAAAAATGACAAGAGTAAGGGAATTAGAGTTGAGTCTGTGGATAATGTTGTAGCTATAGCTGACAGTAATTCAGATAGTGCTGATTATATTTTGTCTGTCACTGATTATTCATCATTTGATGGATAGATTATGGATTCTGGTTGCTCTTTTCATGCTACACCAAAAAGAAACTAGTTTACTACTTATCAGTGCACAGATAGTAGTAAAGTGTACTTGGGGAACAACTATAAGTGCGATGCTATAGACGTTAGTAATGTTAGAATCAGAATGCATGATGGTATCACGAGGATATTAACTGGAGTAAGGCATGTTCCAGAGTTGAAAAAGAACATAATTTCCTTGAGTGACTTGGATTCAGCTGTGTGTCGATATTCTTCAGAATGTGGAATTTTGAAGGTTGTTCTAATGAAAGGAATCGAGCATAGTGGCCTGTAAGAGCTTCGAAGTAAGATAGTGACGAATTTCGCCGCGGAGATATCGAATACACCTGTTTGAGAATCTAAATTGTGGCATATATATTTGAGGCACATTAACGAGAGAAGCCTAAAGGTTTTAAGTGAAAGAAATTTGTTACTGAATGTATGCAAGTGATATGATTTAAATCAACGACGGAGAGTGCAGTTCAGTGCAACTGTCAGAGAAATCACATAAATTGGATAATTAATTCAATTGAATATTCGCAGGTTGTCGCGATTTGCTTCGAGGAAAAGTGCTAGATTTATGATAACAGTTGTTCATGACTACTCGAGGAAGATATGAGTGTTTATGCTGAGGCACAAGTTTGATGCTGCTGTGAGAATCACGCAGTTGAGAACTTTGATCGAAAAGAAGACTCGTAAAATGATCAAGCATGTGTACACTGACAATAATATAGAGTTTTGCTCGAAGTTGTTAAACGAATTCTCCATGAAGGAAGGCATAATGAGACACTGCACTAGTGCTAGTGAACCACAACAGGTTGCAGAGTTGATGAGCAAAGCATTACTAGAGATGGCTCATAAAATGCTCACTAGTGTTGTATGGCTAGGAGATTTATGGCGGACGCGCTTAGTACGGCGAGTTACCTGAACAATATATCCTCATCGATTGCGATTAGATATCGGACTCCCAAAGAAGTATAGTCATTTAGTGTTGCTAATTATTTTGTTTTTAGAATATTTGGTTGCCCATGTTATATTCGAGTGAGTGATGGTAAACTCAATGGAAGGGCAAAAAAGTGTATACAGGCGAGCGAGGCTATCGGTTGTGGTGTTCGGAATTAAATTCACCCGTTATCAGCAGAAAAATTGTATTTGACGAGTCTCCAGAACTTTTGGGTAAGAGTGTTAGTGACAGTATTTATACGGATCTGGACGTTGTTAAGCCTGAAGTGAAGTTGCAACCAGAAACTTCTGAGAAAGTGGATACTAGCGAAGTAATCAACACAGATGATGCTTGTAGCGAGATGGATCCTATAAAGTCAACAGTTGTTGTAACTGCTAATATTGACAAGGTGCGTCTTCAATCTCCTGATAGATGTTGATGCAATAATGGTTTTGCTTTATTTGTAGTAAAGAAGGCTGCGTCGGAAAATCCATGTACAGTAGTTAAAGGTACATGTGAAGTTGGTGTTTAATGAGGTCCACCTATTCAATTTCTTGCCTGAAATTCTTAAATCTACGCATATAGAAAGAAAAACAAATGTAACTCCAGTTCAAAGACTTATCCAGTAAAAGATGCCAATGCGAATTTTAGATGACTCGGTAGTTAGATCAAGTATATCTGATAACAAAGAATCCAAGGTAATTACAAAGGGTGATGTGGATTCATGGCTAGTTTGAGTAAGATTCTCGATTTTCTTACTACTTTGAACCTGCAAGTTTAAACTCCCATGAACTTTCCATATGAGGTCCAATTAATTAGGACGGATTCACGTGCGAGTTCAGTGTGCTCTCTCTCTACAAAAAACACACCAGCTTGTATCTACGAAAACCACATCCCTGAAACGCTGTCGCAGTTGAATCAAAGAAGAACCAAATCATCCATGGACAAGGCCAACGAGAAAGAGATTGTGGTGGCCATTGTTGGCGCGGGCCCTTCAGGCCTCGCGACAGCGGCATGCCTGAACCGCCTCGGCATCGCCAACATCGTGCTCGAGAGAGAGGATTGCTCCGCCTCTCTTTGGAGAAAGAGGTCGTACGATCGATTGAAGCTCCACCTATGTAACGCCCCCACCTCGGGGTCATTAACGTGACGTCCCGTTCATTGTTATCTTTCGTTACACACAAGCGGAAGCATATCTCGGGACAATCACATTTAGAACAAACAGCGGGATTAAGACAAACCACATCATGAACAAACTTTATGTTTACAGGACAAGAAAACATATTTTACAAGCCAACTTAGCCGATTTTAGCCATTTACACAACAAACGTTATGGCTTGGGTGTCCTAAGCCCACTACTTCGGATTCACAGCTCCTAACTTTCCCCGAACTCCAACATGGCTCAAACTCCCCCTGTCGCCGCCGTCCGTTCGACCATCCTATGGACCTGAGAGGGAAAAACAACGGGGGATGAGTCGGGGAGACTCAGCAAGTGAAAACACTAATGTCAAGTGAGGATAAATCGATCGCCGTTAACATGAGTCGGCCCTTACCGCACCGGCGTCGATGGCAAATCAATAGCAAAGTTCATACCGACAAATACTAGAGAACTCTAAGCATGGCTATAACACGTGAACATCACTAGCCAAATTCTGGCTTCTATCTCGAGATATGAACGTCAAACACAAAACATAAACAAGCCAAAGAGATAACCAATCAAGACCGAACACGGTCCAAGCAAACCACGTCACAACGCATCTCATCATCATTTCCCGAGATTAGGGAATTCACTTACCCAATGATATCAAACAAGAACTAGAGAAAACAAGGCGTGTGAAGGACACGTGAGTCTCGGTGACTCTCGGACGATTCTTGGTGGTTCTCGGGCTTAAACACGAACACACGGCCTTGGACGTGGCTTCCTCACTTGATCGAACCACAAGAGAGATACGGGCTAGTCGGTAAGTTCTCTCTCTTTCTCTCTTTCTCGGTCATGAATACGAAGCAAGAAATAAGAAAGAAGGTTGGCCGGAGCTCTCGGGGCGTGAACTAGGAAGCAAGAAAGTCAAAGATGAAGGTGATGGCCGGCTAGTTTGGGCGTGGAAATGGCGTGAAAGAGAGGAAGTGGAGTGAGATGAGAGAGAAGGAGGGGATTGTCTTGCTATTTATAGAACTAGAAAACCCTAGACTTGAGCCAATAAGAGAGGGCCTCTTAGTCAAATTTCATGATGGCCTTCATTAAATGCCATTTAATGACTAAAGCCAAAAGAAAATGATGAAGGGCCAAGCTTATCTTCACCTCATTGGCTCTCTCTCTCTCTCTCTCTCTCTCTCTCTCTCGGCTTCTCTCTCTCTCTCCATTTCTCTCTCCCCTTGGCCGAATGGCCTTCTTTCTATTTATAGAGAGGCAAAACTTGGGGCCAAAGTTTGGATGAGGTAAGCGCACGTGTCATTGGAACATGAGGTAAGCGCACGTGTCATTGGAACATGAGGTCATCGCTTACCTCGCAGCTTCATTAATAACATGGGACAAAATTTCATGATGAAGAAGCAATAATTCTCTCTTGGCAACTCTCTCGACCGACTCTCGTTTTCCCCCTGGGATGACCTCCAATCAAGGCATAAAATATCTCATTTGAAAGCTCAGAATGTGTACTTTAAATCACCAGAAGACACCAAGTCCAAATTCCAACGTTCTCGTATAGAAAATGCTGAATCTTTGAAATCCGACAAAACCGGACAGCTTTGCACTGTTCACGAAGTCGGACTTGAAAACATAGTAAATGGACTTCAAAAATTCTAAAATTTGAATAGGTCATAAAAAAGGTCTTAACAAACATTTTTCATGAGAGCACGAAATCTGAATCTCTCTGTAAACACCATTTTTAGTAGCTCAAAGATAGAATAAAAACAGTTCGCTGGAACAACATTCTTGTTTCTAAAAGTAAGCTCTGTCCAGAATCCAAATCATCTCGAAAAATTCCCAAATTTATGTACGTTATAGAAAAGGACGTTTTCAACAACTTTTGTGAAGGAAAATTTTTCAAAATCCGCCCAGAAAAGCTTGTAGAAAATAAAGACGGTGTGAACATCACTGAAATACCCATTCTGGACAGTTTTACACGGTCCGAAAATCAGGCCATCGTACTACTCATATCAATTCCAAAAATTATGAAATTAAAGTATGTAAAACTTCAAGATGTTTAGAGAAACTTTTAAGAAGGAAGTATTTGGAAATTCGGATCACAAAATTCTCCCAAAAAAAAACAAAATGAAGGGGTACAAAGGATCCAAAATAGGGTTTTCCAAAACAAGAGTAAAAATTAGTTCCGATTGGAAAACCACCAAACTTAAACCATAGCCATTTCCTAGAGACTGAAATTGAGGATGTTACAATTTACCTGCGGCTTCCCAGGCCCAAAAATCGGGATGTGACAATTCTCCCCCTCTAATAAAATTTCGTCCTCGAAATTTAAACGCGTACCTGGTTCCTCGAACAAATGCAGGTATCAACTTTTCCTCAATTCCTAACTCTCCCAGGTGGCTTCTTTTATGCCCCGGTGACACTATAGGACCTTAACTAAGAGAATGGCCTTATCTCTCAACACTTGCTCCTTACAATCCACGATCCGCACCTACTCCTCAGCATAGGACACTCTGCTGTCCACTTCGACCTCGTCGAAAAATTCAGCACGCGTGCCGGATCGGGCTCACACTTTCACAATATCAATACATAGAACACAACATGTACCTGAGCAAGTTTCGATGGCAATGCCAACCGATAGGCTAATTCCCTTTTCGTTCTCGAATTTCAAAAGATCCTACGTACCTGGGACTTATCTTACCTTAGTACCTTTACAGCATCCACTGTAATGTGGACTAGCTCTGGACCAGCGACCTTTCTTTCCTCGACCTCGATCCAACATACTAGAGTGCAGCAAGCTTGTCCACGCTTCCGCTGCGCTACTCTGATAAAATCTTACTCAAACATAATTTACTTACTTATAACAATCACGAAGATCACACTTATCATTTCAAGTAACAGTTCCCATCTTAATTTCAATTCAGTACCTAGTTCGGTTTATTCCTTTTCTTACCCGCCATCCTAGAAGCCTACCAGGAGCCACACCTTATTCAGGTCTTTACCCCCGGCGACCACTCTTGCTAGAAGCCGCACCTTGATCAGGCTTCTTGCCCCGGCGTCCACTTCCTAGCCAAGAGCCGCTCCTTGATCAGGTTCTGCCCCGGCGATCACTCCCCGTCCTCATCGGATCGGGTTATGTCAAAATTCAACAGCCTTCTCTTGGCTCAACACCGAACTGCAACTTACTAGAGGGGAACCTGCTTGAACTTCTCTTTCGAGGTCGTGGCGTCCTGATGGGACTTTCCTTTTTCCTCAGCGGTCGCAGCCTGGTCCTAAGCACTTATTTTGCTATCAATAGTCTAACAAGACTTTCTACAACACAAGAATAGGTCAGTGATCACAAACAAACAGGAGCACTTAACCTATTCAATCACAATTAATCATTTACATGCATAGGGGTGTTTCCTAACTAGCTACCCCAACTTCAGCGCACCTTATCACTCCAGGTCTTTATTCCCGCTTTGATTTCAGAATCGTTTTCCCAATTCGGTGCACAGTTCGGTCATTCCTGCCCTTAGCCATTCTAGAAGCCTGCCAGGAGCCGCTCAATGATCAGGCCCTTCACCCTGGTGGCACTTCTGCCCAGAGGCCGCTCAATGATTAGGCCTCTTACCTCGGTGCCACCTCTGTCAGAAGCCGCTTAATGATCAGGTCGTATGGCCCCGGTGCCACTCCCCGCCCTTGTCGGACTGGCCAATTGAAAGCTGCCCCGAACTGCACCTACTGGAGGGAAAACCTGCTCTGATACCAAATTAGTCTGTAACGCCCCCACCTCGCAGTCATTAACGTGACGTCCCATTCATTGTTATCTTTCGTTACACACAAGCGGAAGCATATCTCGGGACAATCACATTCAGAACAAACAGCGGGATTAAGACAAACAGCATCATAAACAAACCTTATGTTTACAGGACAAGCAAACATATTTTACAAGCCAACTTAGCCGATTTTAGCCATTTACACAACAAACGTTGTGGCTTGGGTGTCCTAAGCCCACTACTTCGGATTCACAGCTCCTAGCTTTCCCCGAACTCCAACATGGCTCAAACTCCCCCTGTCGCCGCCGTCCGTTCGACCATCCTATGGACCTGAGAGGGAAAAACAACGGAGGATGAGTCGGGGAGACTCAGCAAGTGAAAATACTAATGTCAAGTGAGGATAAATCGATCGCCGTTAACATGAGTCGGCCCTTACCGCACCGGCGTCGATGGAAAATCAATAGCAAAGTTCATGCCGACAAATACTAGAGAACTCTAAGCATGGCTATAACACGTGAACATCACTAGCCAAATTCCGGCTTCTATCTCGAGATATGAACGTCAAACACAAAACATAAACAGGCCAAAGAGATAACCAATCAAGACCGAACACGGTCCAAGCAAATCACGTCACAACGCATCTCATCATCATTTCCCGAGATTAGGGAATTCACTTACCCAATGATATCAAACAAGAACTAGAGAAAACGAGGCGTGTGAAGGACACGTGAGTCTCGGCGACTCTCGGACGATTCTTGGTGGTTCTCGGGCTTAAACACGAACACACGGCCTTGGACGTGGCTTCCTCACTTGATCGAACCACAAGAGAGATACGGGCTAGTCGGTAAGTTCTCTCTCTTTCTCTCTTTCTCGGTCATGAATACGAAGCAAGAAATAAGAAAGAAGGTTGGCCGGAGCTCTCGGGGCGTGAACTAGGAAGCAAGAAAGTCAAAGATGAAGGTGATGGCCGGCTAGTTTGGGCGTGGAAATGGTGTGAAAGAGAGGAAGTGGCGTGAGATGAGAGAGAAGGGGGGGATTGTCTTGCTATTTATAGAACTAGAAAACCCTAGACTTGAGCCAATAAGAGAGGGCCTCTTAGTCAAATTTCATGATGGCCTTCATTAAATGCCATTTAATGACTAAAGCCAAAAGAAAATGATGAAGGGCCAAGCTTATCTTCACCTCATTGGCTCTCTCTCTCTCTCTCTCTCTCTCTCTCTCTCTCTCTCTCTCTCTCTCTCTCTCTCTCTCTTCTCGACTTCTCTCTCTCTCTCCATTTCTCTCTCCCCTTGGCCGAATGGCCTTCTTTCTATTTATAGAGAGGCAAAACTTGGGGCCAAAGTTTGGATGAGGTAAGCGCACGTGTCATTGGAACATGAGGTCATCGCTTACCTCGCAGCTTCATTAATAACAAGGGACAAAATTTCATGATGAAGAACCAATAATTCTCTCTTGGCAACTCTCTCAACCGACTCTCGTTTTCCCCCTGGGATGACCTCCAATCAAGGCATAAAATATCTCATTTGAAAGCTCAGAACGTGTACTTTAAATCACCAGAAGACACCAAGTCCAAATTCCAACGTTCTCGTATAGAAAATGCTGAATCTTTGAAATCCGACAAAACCGGACAGCTTTGCACTGTTCACGAAGTCGGACTTGAAAACATAGTAAATGGACTTCAAAAATTCTAAAATTTTAATATGTCATAAAAAAGGCCTTAACAAACATTTTTCATGCAGAGCACGAAATCTTAATCTCTCTGTAAACACCATTTTTAGTAGCTCAAAGACAGAATAAAAACAGTTCGCTGGAACAACATTCTTGTTTCTAAAAGTAAGCTCTGTCCAGAATCCAAATCATCTCGAAAAATTCTCAAATTTATGTACGTTATAGAAAAGGACGTTCTCAACAACTTTTGTGAAGGAAACTTTTCCAAAATCCGCCCAGAAAAGCTTGTAGAAAATAAAGACGGTGTGAACATCACCGAAATACCCATTCTGGACAGTTTTACACGGTCCGAAAATCAGGCCATCGTACTACTCATATCAATTCCAAAAATTATGAACTTAAAGTATGTAAAACATCAAGATGTTTGGAGAAACTTTCAAGAAGGAAGTATTTGGAAATTCGGATCACAAAAGTCTCCCAAAAAAAAAACAAAATGAAGGGGTACAAAGGATCCAAAATAGGGTTTTCCAAAACAAGAGTAAAAATTAGTTCCGATTGGAAAACCACCAAACTTAAACCATAGCCATTTCCCAGGGACTGAAATTGAGGATGTTACAATTTACCTGCGGCTTCCCAAGCCCAAAAATTGGGATGTGACAACCTAGCCAAGCAATTCTGCGAGCTCCCCCACATGCCCTTCCCCTCCAATTCCCCCAAGTTTGTCCCTAGGGACCAATTCATCGAATACCTCGACAACTACAAGTCAGGTTTCGAGATAAAACTGTACTGTCGACGGTCTGTCGAGAGCGCATCGTATGATGATCAAATCGGCAAGTGGCGGATCGTGGCGAGAAACACGGGCTCGGGCGAGGATGAGGTCTACGTCGCGGAGTTCTTGGTGGTGGCAAGCGGGGAGAACAGCAAGGGCGTGATACCGGAGGTTGACGGCTTAGACAGCTTTGGCAGGGCAGCGATGCACTCGAGCGAGTACCGGAATGGGAGATGTTGACACCAAAATAAGAATCGACATAGACGCTGAGTCGACTTTAATGCCGAATCTGGTGTATAATGGAAATCAGCCATCTTCCGAAATACGTTTAGATAAAATTCGAAAACATGCTGGGAAGCAAGCGTGAATGACATCATATCCCGAATTCGGTGATTGGTGAAGATCGGTATATGTACCGAAACATGGAAAGTCATAGTTGGGGAGTTAAAAAAAAAGCGTTGGAGCCATTATACCTCGGGACGTTGACTCGTTCCCGAAATTCGGGAAGTCTATACTTCAGGAATATACCGAAATTACAGAAAATCGGTAAAGATGAATCACGGCCCAGCCACGTAAATCATGATAGCAGGAAGTTATGAGCAAAAAGCGGAGATAGTGAGCACGAGCAGATTGTGGGGAGTTGCTTGTCCAAATTTGAAGTCGTCGCAGCGGTTGAGATCAAGTTTTGGCGGACAATGAATTTGGAAAAACGTGGTTAGATAAGGCAGTTATTGGAAGCTCCAAGATTCAAAATTTGAAAACATAGAAGTAACCGACAAGCAGTTACAGGATATGAGGAGATACAAATACTCAGAAGAAAGAAAGAGGAAGGATCATCAAGAACAATGCAAAAACACTCAAGCTTATCTGCACTTAGTTTCCTATGTACCTTAACTTCCTGCATTTACAGCTTCCTGCATTTACAGCTTCCTGCAACTTTAGTTAACTTTCAAGTCCTTTACAGCTTTCATAGGAGTATTGTAACGTAGCTTGGAACCTTGTTGATGTCAGATCCATTTTCAATCCATTCGATTTCAATCCGTTCCATATAATCCTGTGCTACACTCTGTTTTTCGCTACAACTCTCTTAGAAATCAAGCCACAGAACCTATCTTAATAAAAACCGAAAATCAAAGTTTCGGTGAAAGGTATTCCTCGTTGTAAAATGAGCGAACATCTTTTTGGCACGCCTAGTGGGACTCGCGTGGTAAGATTTGGAGAAATGGTGAGAACTAGTCAATCTGAAGGAATACCGGTGGGTAACATCAACAATCCAGATGATGGAGCACGCTCTGAGCACTCCGCAGCTAATCAAGTAGAGGAGAATGCCGACATTCCTCGGCAATTAACTGAAGAACAAGCCCGCGTGTTGGCACCAGATAACACCTTGGTAGGCACGATGAAAAGGATGTTTGAAGAATAGCAGAACGAGCTTACCAACCATATGGTGCGACATGTGACGGATGTGATAAAGCCCATGGTAATCAATGCTATAAATGAGGTAATATCGCGTCCCAGTTCATCTTCTCAAGTTCTACCCTTTTATGCAAATCCTCTTAGGACAACATCGTTTCCACCAACATCGGGACCTCCTCATGTTGGATATAATGGTAATAGGGGATCAAATTCGCAACCTCCTGTCAGAATTGTACCAAGGCTAGAGAATCCTACCCCTATAAACCTTATGAATGGTGTGAATGCTTACAATTTCCCTCAAAATGCCCCAAATGATGTTAATTTGGTTAATCCCATGGTCACAAACGCACCACCAGTGCTGAACGTACCTCCGCCAGTAAATATGCCTAATGTTGACCATATCAGACCACCTGCGCCTCAACTGTATCCTCATGTGATAGAAAACCCTCTTTATAGGCCACCACTACCCGTTAATTTCAACATGGAACAGCAGGGGGTGAATAGACCTCAGCAGTTTGATCCTAGGGGTCAAGATCCTTGGTTAGGCCAGCAAAATTTAAGACCATGGAATCCAGATAGAGTTGCAGAACCGGTAATGAAATAATTGGGAGCAGAGAGAGGAATGCTAAGGCCAGTATATAGGAAGCCACATCTTGATTGGGTTGACAACATACCATATCCAAGGGGTTTCAAGATGCAAGATTTTGTTGTATTTACAGGAGAGGAGGATCAGTCAACTGTGGAGCATGTTGGTCGATTCTTGGCACAATGCGGAGAGGCTGGGACTAATGAGTATTTAAGGTTAAGGTTATTCCCATTGTCTTCGTCAAAAACAGCATTCACTTGGTATACAAATTTGCCTGCGAATTCTATTCAAACATGGACCGAGATGGAAAGGCAGTTTCATTCTCAATTTTACCGAACGGTACCAGAGGTAACGGTAGCCCATTTGGCCAGGATGTATCAATATAGTACTGAGACACTAGATCAGTTTATTGCACGTTTCAAGAAATACAGAAACCGATGTTTAACATCACTCACTGAAAAGGAGTTCACGGATTTGGCTTTTAACAGCTTGAGGTTTAACCTTAAAGAAAGATTTGAAGGACAAGCCTTTGACGATCTCTTTCAGTTAAACGCTCGGGTTTTCAAGTATGAACATTTGTTAAAGGAGAAAGATAAGAAGTCGAATAAGGATAATCGGCAGACAGTGGCATTTGCTGAAAGTACCGAACATGGTGGTATATCTGAAGAGGAGAATAAAATAACCGTAGCAACTATGGTGCTTGAAAAACCGTATGTGTGCCCAGCACTTAAGCCGGCCAGGGTGAGAGATGTATCCAAGTTCAAGGCTAATGAGACAAATAACTACTCCTTTGATATCTACAAGTTAGATGAAATATTTGACCTGCTGTTGAAAGATGGAATGATCAAGTTATCTGAAGGACAAGTAATCCCGTCAAAGGAGGAAATAACAGATAAGAGATATTGTAAATGGCATCACTCTACAACTCATGATACGGTGAATTGCATTGTGTTTAGGAAGAGTATCCAAGAGGCAATTCGCCAAGGCAAGATTAAATTTGCCGAAGACAAAGGCAAGGCCCCAATGGAAGTAGACACATATCCTTTCCCGAACATGATCAGCATGGTTAATATACGAGAAACGACGGGTGATGACAACAAACAACTTTGCACCCGTTGTCGCCAAGAGCTGACTCGTCAAGATCGGGAGATTCTCAGGTTCCAATACATGAGAGGAACAAGGGGAAGATACAGATCGGGATCGTTTGTCCGCAGGATAGGTAATCCACAGGTAAGATCTGAGATTGTAGCTACCGAAAACTTTTCGGTACAAGCAAGAGAGGAGGAAGTTCAACCAAGACAGACAGCACAAGTACTTGAAAGAAAAGATGTTGGTCATAGGTATGAGAGGAAGGAATACCACCCTGATTCATCTCAACTAGCCCTTCCAATTCGGGAATTGGTTACACAAGTTCATAAAGAAAAAGAAACATTACCAAAGCCTGCAAAGAAAAAGAGTTTATGGCAGCGATATAAGGAAGGTGACCCCAAAGTCGGATTGCTTGGAGAACCTAGCGGGAAGTTTGACTATGTGGTCTATTACGGAGATGCGGATGATTATCCACCTCCATCATTGCCAGTTGAGCCGACTGGCTGGGGAGATGAGTTTGATGATCCACCACCATCAATTTCTCAGGAAATCCACAAAAGAAAAACAGTTAAGGTGCCGTATAATCCTCCCAAAGGAAAATGGTCAACAGTTAAATCGCCAGGACAGGCGTCTTACAGAACCATCAAGAGGCATTTCCAGCGGATGAAAAACAGACAAAGGAATTTCGAGAGTGCCCGAGCTAAAGGTACAGCAAGGCAAAATTTACCTTTCACGTCTGTCAGTAGGAAAGGTAATTGGGTCTGAAAAAGAAACCCTGGTGAAAAAGATCGAATTAAATCAGAACCAGGTGATTCAGGAAGTAGCTCTCACGTTGAAATGAAAAGGGAGAAGGGAGTTTCACAGGTTCCCCAGACAATTAATTTTGGGCAGATCACTGTAGCTCTCAACCCAAAACATCAGAGAAAGGTGGAGCAAAAGAACTTGGGTCCTAAATCGTCACAAAAAGATGGCAGAAGTTACCGAACTGGTTACTCCAAGATATCAAAGGAATATGGTTCTCCAATACGGATAAACATGGTCCATGCTAAACTTCCAGCGGAGTATAGAACTAATTTGGCTGTGGAAGAAGACATCGAACACATTTCAGAAAAAGAGATAGCCATGGTAGAATTTCATTTCCCCGATAAAGAAGCCATTAAGTTTGATAAAGTACCTTCTAAAAAGGCAAAGCATTTGAGGTCCTTGGTTATTTCAGGCAGGGTCAATGGCAGGTCTGTCGGTAAAATCTTTGTAGATGCTGGGGCTACTTTAAACCTCATATCTTACAAGTACTTCAAGAAATTGGGGAAAGATGACGACGACATTAATGTTCAGTTGTTTGATTTTATTGGGGAAGTTACCGAAGTCAAGGGGGCAACAGTGCTTGATTTAACTATAAGGTCCAAGTCGTCCAAAACGACTTTCTTTGTAATAGAGTCTGATGGTTCATATAATCTGTTGCTCGGAAGAGATTGGATATACTCTAATCAGTGTGTACCTTCAACTTTGCATCAAGTCTTGGCATTTTGGAATGGCGAAAAAGTAGAATATGTTGAGGCAGATTCGGGATATGCTTCAATCGGATGGACTGACATTTGTCAAGAATATTGGGACTGTTTACATGAGGGTTATGCTGTCGAATCACCAAGGACAGATCCACAGTCCTTTGCTTATTGCCACTTCGGGGATATGAAAGCTGAATGGATCCCCAAGTCAAGCTTGGCATTAGAAGAATTACACACTCTTTATGGAAAACGAGTCCATATTGCAAGAAGTTTGTGAAAGGTACTTCACACACTTGGCGGAAATGGTGCAGCAAAATGTTGAAGCCTCAGATTGTATTGATGAATGGGAAGAGTTATTAGTCAAAGAAGACAGAATAATGAAGGCTCAAGATCCATTATTAGAGGTTGATATAGGAGAGCCTGGTTGTTTCCGTCCAGTGTATGTAAGTACGTTTTTGTAAGGGGGCATGAAAGAAAAGTTGGTTAACCTGATCAAAGGGTACAAAGATTGCTTTACATGGGACTATCATGAAATACCTGGTTTGTCAAGAGATATTGTAGAACATCGCCTTCCAATCAAGAAAGGATTTCGTCCGCATAAGCAGCTAGCAAGAAGATTTGCTCCAGATGTAGTTGATA